CCAGCTTAAGCCAATTGTTACACTTTTAGCGATCCCTTCCACGGTCAATCTGCCCTGTGAAGTCGTATCACTATACTCACTTGGCAAATAAAAGGGACTCATCCTAACCGATATAACGAATCTCGTACAACATCGATCAACTTGCTGCTGTTCCTGACAATTCTCCCATTTGTCAGCCGACCAGCTACTGCTGATTTTTAACTTTCATCTTTACATCTGTTTCGCCAATACAACCGAAATCAACTACCCCTAAACAAAACCATTCATGCTGGACCCGACATCAATACCAACATATTTCTCCAGAGTACACTCTTGTACATTTTGGATAAATAAAATCGAGGTTATTGTTTCTTAAACCTTTGTCCCCTCATTGTCTTAGCTGTTCACACCTTTCTTCATAAAGCTTGCGGGGTGACATTCTTATCGACCCCGCAAAAGTCTAATAAAGCTTCATAAACTTCTACTTGGTGTTGTTACTATATTGTAATAATTTTTCCTATTTTATGCTAAATTAGCTATGAGACTGATGGTGAATTAAACAAAATAACATCCAAATTAATGATATATCTATATCCTTTTTACATTTCTATAATATTAAATAATATTGTTAAAATTAATTATGGCAACATCTAGTAACATTTTTTTACAGAAAAAAGTTTGCTGAAATTTGTGTAAATATAACAATAAAATAAAACATTAATTTAACAAGAAAAACATTACCTTTGTAAAATTCAATACAAAATAAAGCAATTTTTGAATAATGAAAAAAAGGTAGCCTGGTAGTCATCTCCTTTGACTAGTGATAATTTTTTTTGTTTACATAACTTATTTAAATTTATTCATAAAATGTATGTTGTGAAAAAAATGCATAAATATATGATAGAAAGAATAACTTTTAGCTCAAATCAAAATAAGATCATTCCTTATGGTAAAAATGCTTTGAAAATTAAAAATGATTACTAATTTATTTTGGTTGCTTGCTTACTTATTCTTTGTTTTAATATGGAAAAATTCTGAAATAACTGATTTATTTCTTTTTCAATTGATTTAAAATCTTACACTAAAACAACTTATAAAGTAAGGAAGTCAGAGTTTTTGCTTTATGGTGTGTATTGAATTGAATTTATATACTAACACCAGAACCCCAAGATTGCAAAAGTCACATGTATGAATGTTATACTCCACAATATAAATGTGCAGTGGGTAGGTCACATGTTGAAGATGAAAGACTACTGTTTACTAAAGGTTTTACTATTTGAAAGGTTTTACAGTGAAACAGCTTCCTTATAAAAGTGGCACAAGGTCTCCTTAAATACCTTCATTTCCCATGTCACTGACAATATCAATGAACGACATAATCTATTGATAGAAAAACATAGGGACAGAGAATCTTCCTGGTTATCTTTAATAAAGAAATTGCAAAATCAATAATATTGTAGAGATATAAAACTTGATTTTAATAAAAACAAATTATCATCCTATTTCTCAAAACTATTTTATGGATAACAATTGAGTAGACTTCATATTTTTTTAAAACAAAAACAGTGTGAATTATGTTAACAGATCTGCATATTCAAGAGATTTAGTAAAGAGAATGTACTCTCTGGCAAGGTTTGAACTTGTGTTCCCCTTTGTAAGAGAAACCATGTGTGTCTATATATATATATATATATATAAGGAACATTTTTTTTCTTTTTATATATAGTTTATGGTGTGTGTTGTTTTTCTGATATTGTGGGTTGCATTAGGATGCCTGTTTTGCTTGCTTACATATAGATATATGAACAGCATGCACACACATAACCCTATATATATGCACAAATTCATATATACACATATACATACATATTAAAACTGTAGATTTTTAAATCAGCTGAGAAACACATCTTTGATAAAAATTTATATATATATATATAGCTAAAAGAAATATATATATATATATATAATGTGTGCAAATATATTTATAAAATAGGAAAGAACCATTAGATTGATGATCCTAAGTTCTTTAGTATTTTTGTTTTTATTTTTGAAAAACAGTGCTTGATGCACAAGTAGAGCTTAGATTATAATTATTTTTTATAAATATGATTCCATTGCTACACAGGAATTGCCATGTTTCAAAAACTAATATTATGAATGTATGTGCTTATAAAGCTCTGTATATTTCAAAATAAGTTATTCTAAAATTCGCTTAAAAATGAAACATAACTAGTTACTTTAATTTAATTTAATTTCTGTAATTGAATTGGAAGTTTTTAGCTTCTGTTTTTGAAACATGGTAATTCCTGTGTAGTGATGGAATCATATTTTTTAAAAAAGTAATTATAATATATATATAAATTGATATATATATATGTGTGTATACATATATATATATATATATATATATATATATATATATATATATATATATATATATATACAGTACAAAAAAAAAATGAATGTACCCATAGAAATAATGATGAACAAATTATAAAGTTTATTACATTTGTATTTACATTTATTAACATGCTTAAGCATTGTTCTGACTTTGAGAAAGGCCAAGTTGCTGTTTTTCATGAGTTGGGGCTGTTGAATAGACTGATATATGATAAGATTAATCAAAGTGAGTCATGTGTCCACAAGTTAATCAAAAAGAGAAATCAATCTGGAACATATAATAGCTGTAGCAGATCTGGCTGACCACTAAAAACTACCAACAGGGAAGATAGAAGCTGGGTTTGTCAATACAAAAAAGATTGATTCACAACAGCACAAGATGTTTCCAAAGTGGCTAGTTTGGTGGTTTCTTCAAGAACAGTCAGTCGCAGGCTTAATGCAAAAGGCATTGTTTCCAAATACATAAAAAAATCAATGGGCACGGTTAGCTTGGTGCAAAGCTCATTTACACTGGACTAAATCTGATTGGGAAAATGTCATGTGGAGTGACGAGAGCCCTTTTACTCTTAGATATGAAGGATGAATACATGTTTGGTGTATGCTCAATGAAATGAATACTCAAGTGACTACCAAGGCCACTGTTAAACACAATAAAAAAATATCTATGTTTGTGGTGCATTCTCAGCAGCAGGAGTTGCTAATTTGTACAAAATCATGGGAATGATGGACTAGCATCGATACCACAACATTCTTGTTAATCAACTGTGACTTTTTGCTAAAAAACTTTTTGCCTATGGTCAACGTTTCAAGCTCCAACATGATAATGATCTTAAGCATACTGCCTTAAAGAATAAACATTATCTAGAGAGGAAGCACAATGAGGGTAAATTGAAACTCTTCCAGTGGCCTAGTTGGAGTCCTAACCTTAAACCAATTGAAAACCTCTGCGCAATAATGGACAAACATACCTGTAATAGGAAAGTTAACATAGAAGATGAACTTTTTTGTAAATTAAAGAAATGCTGGTAAAATCTTGCGAAGAACGTTGACTTACTCAAGAATTTAGTCTATAGCATGCCATGAAGAATTAAGGCTGCTATTAAATCAAAAGGTTACCCAACAAAATACTAAATCAGTTTTTGACTTGTATAATATACATATGTACACCTGTATTAATACCCTGTATTAATAAATGAATTTGTTTATTCACTTGTCTTGGTAAAAATACAAAAATTGACTTTCTATGGGTGCATCCATTTTTTTGCCTCATACTGTATATATATTGTGTCAACTAAGATTAAGTTTTCCTTTTGTCTTTATTTATATTGTCCTTTCACAGATATATTTTATTTGAAAATTTTGACACACACACACACATTTCTTATTACTATAAATGTTATTTTTAGGTATCCCTGTTTTTTGCTATCTTCTTACAGTAAAATTAATAACAATCAGCCGAGAGGGTAAAGTCCTACTAAAGCAAAATTGTGTTTCCGACAGGAATCAAACCTATATCCTTTTTTTCCATCAGGGAAATCATTCTGCTACCATTTTAGCCATGGAAACAGAGCATGAGTTACCTATTTAAGGAAAGCATATCTTTTCTTGGGAATTCTACAAGTCTACATCTGCTAGCTTCAGTTTCATACCCAAAACATAAATAAGTCATTTTTGAAGGGATTTTTTTATCAGACATTATATGTAATTACTATAAACAGATATATTTGAGTTGCTATCCCTGTTTAATCAATCTGGTTTAAAATCTTTTCTTCCTCAGAGTAACTGAGTTAAATAACCAAGTTTCATCTTCCACACTGAAAAAGGAAGGCTTCTTGCATTTGTAGCAGGATTAATTTTTAATTTGTCTAGAACAAAGTTATGCTTATAAAGCTTACAAGATCATCTCATAAGCAATTACAACAATATAATTCTTTTTGTTAGAGCAAATAAAAGCAGACATATTAAAATGCATTTAATAACAAAAAAAGAAACAATTCATAACAAAAAAGAGGGGTAACAAAAAATATATATTACCGTAAATTGATAATACTGAAATATAATATTTGTAGCAACAGTAGTAACACTAGTAGTTGCATTAGTAATAATAGTTGATTTTAAGTAGCTTGAACCAAGTTATATCATATTTCATAAAGTAAAGAAATTTTAAAGAAAGTTCAAGGGTCATCTTTTTAGCCAGATTCATTTACCCATAGTTTATTTCTCTATCAAAGCTTGTAGATTTAATGATTTATTCCCTTTTCTATCCCTTTAATCAATCATTGGAAATAATAAAAATTATGATATTTTGATGATCTGATATCAAAGTTGATCTTGAATAACAGTTATTTATACTATGTGGTGATTGCAGATTCTATAAGAATATGAAAGTACTGACAACTAGGTACTTTATAGAATCTAATGTCAGTTTAATAAAAAAGGCCTATTAAGGGTTGAAAATCAGTAGTTGAAATAATGATCTTTATCTGAAATTGAACCTAAAGCTGATACTGCAAAGGACAAACATGTTATGTTTACAAGTCTCTTTGTTACGAAACAAATAACTGCTCCCAGTTGCCTAGGTTGTAAAAAAGACAAAATAAAAACAGTAAGATTTTTCTTACTTTTACCAGGGTTTATACAGTTGGGATCATCAGAGCTACTGGTAAAACTGAGGATATTATTCATTCCCAACACCAACATGCCATTCGCTGGTAAAACCTATAATGTCATAAAGTAAAGAAAAACAAAAATTAAAAATTTCAAATGCCACAATTTTTTATTTTGTCTTTTTATACTAAATTCTTAATAGTTTGTTTTAATAAAAAGGAAAGAATTTATACAAAAGAAAAACTCACTATCAGTTATCATCTTGATTAACTTGGTAAGAAAAGTACTTATAATAAAACCTTGGTGTACTGTATAAATAGAAATGAAATTTGCCTAAAATTTGTTTATACTTACAAGTTGACCAATAGTTGAACTGGAATTCAGCATAATGGTTGGGGAATCATCAGGAATAACAACTTGATCATTTCCACAAGGGGCCTTTCCAGTATCCCAATTGAGGTTAGTATCAAAATTTGTATTTGGCAGCCAACGTTTGTAGAAACAGCAAACATTCCCTGAAAATTTGCAAACAAATAAATTAAAAGTTAAAGCATTTGCATTTTGAAAATAAAAAATGTTACAATGTTAAAATTTCAATTTACACCAATGAATAATAAAGATTTAAAGTTTAAAATTTACTTTAGAGATTAATTTAAATAATCTGAAAATGTACAAGTTTTTATGTAAATGTTTGTGTGCAATTAATTCTATTTTGCTAATTAATATAAATTCCTCTACAATGTATTCAATTTTACTTAACACACACACACACACACACACACACACACACACACACACACACACACACACACACACACACACACACACACACTGTGATTCTTTTACTAAAATTCACCCAATACAAAATTCTATGTAGATGACTACTGAATCAGGTGTGTGTTATGAATACAATAATCAGAAGTGAAGACATGTGGATATGGATGATAGTGATTAACCATGGCCTTGAAGAGTTTAAGATTGTAGTGTTTGGGGAAAAGCACCTGAAAAATGTTTATTTTTATCAAGGCTGGAAAGTGTGGTTTGAGCAGTTCCAGCCCAGATATAGCAGTGATATTCCAGTTTTGGTTTAATCTGACTCTCATAAAGATAGAGAATGGCAGGTATATTGGTTTGGTTTGGTTTATTTTGTTTTACAGCATATCAACCTCAAATGGCAGGTGGAGCCAAGTAATTTATGAACCAGTAGAATGATTGACCATTTTTCCAGTATCTTTACCAAAATGTATGCTGGGTTTCAGTCACTTGTCAACAGAGCTGGATCAAGGTCCTGGCAACTCAGACAGTCACCCAGGGCACCATTCTGCTATGTCATGTGTTTGGGATCTACTAAAACTAAATCTTATAAGAACATACTCCATGACTCAAGACAGATTAAATTCTTTGGCTATTTTGTCAATAGGAAATGATCATGTAAAGAAGATAGGTATAGAAAGTGCCATGAAAAGATTTGCCAATCTATTTTGCTAGAAAATAAAATGTTTTAGGTCGGATAATTGTTGAAACTTGACTAATGCATGGAATAATAATACAACACAAAATGTACTTAGAACAAAATGTATTGAAACAAGAAAGTGTACACAATATTTACATATAGTCTTTTGTATATTCCTGGGAAGACCGTTCCTGGAGAATGCGTTGACTTAGTCGCAGTCGGGCAGAGTCTCTGGATTGAATCTCTTGATTCCTACCCCCGTCTTCCCGGTACCAACCATATTTATATGGTCGGTACTCCACTAAGCAAATTAGGTGTATCCTACCACAACAATAATGAATGTTTTTTTTTAGCTTGTATTAAGTTGTATATTGTAATAAACTCATTATTCTACATTTTCAGTTTTTTTTCCCTTGTAAAAATTTAAAAAAAATGATATTTGTAAGGGTGCCAAGGTTCAGTTAGCCCAGGCTGCCAGCAACCCTAGGGCTGGCACTGCTTGTCAAATCTGAAGAAATGACCAAACATTAGATTTTTTTGTAAAGTTTTTTAGTCAGATTGAGAACATTTAACATGTCTTTGTTTATAACTATATCATTATTAGCTGCATAGTTTCAGACATCAAGTTAATAACTTGGACCTTTTATTCTTTGTACAATGGAAAGGTACATTAATGAAAGAGGAATTATTATTGTGAGTGTCACTTTTTCCATTTATTATTTAATTTTATTACTTATCATACTTGTCTGAATATAAATGACATTTGTTGATAACAAATATTATAGTCTAAATAACAAACAAAATGTTCACCAAAAAAAAAAATTGCTTGTCATTTGTACATATTAAAAATATAAAATGTGATTTTTTTAAAACTTAGAATTACATTCATTTTTACCTTATTGGATAATTATGATTTAGAAAAAGCACAAGTAAAATTACTTAATTTATTTTTACCAGATAAGAATTTATTTTTGATACTGATCAGCAATATATTGAAACACATTTTTAAGTGAATTGTTTCTTGCTTTCATGAACTTTCTGGAAAGCAAGTTGGTCTCTCCATTCCCAGACAATGATTAATTATAGATATTGAATCCCATTTAAATTGATTTTATCACCCAAGAATCATTGTACAATAAAACCACAATTTAAAGAAGTAATTGGAAGGAGATTTGCTGCCTCAGATTCAGTTGTTCCTTAAACCAAATAAAATTCTCTTTTGTTTAAAAAGTTCTGTAAATCAATGCATTTAATTAACACTGAAGCCATTTCCAATATCAAATAACCTTGAGTATATAGTAAACAACCTGAAACATTGAAATGAATGTTTCTCTCTTTTTCTCTCTCTCTCTTTACAATGGATGGACGGACGGACGGACGGACGGACGGACGGACGGACGGACACACACACACACACACACACACACACACACACTGTTGCCAAAATGAATTTATCATCTATGGTGAAAACTGTCTTAAAATAGCTAGCCAGCAAGATTTTTAGCTTTTGTCTTACAAGATTGACATGTGCTTAGTAACAACACAGACTCGATGAATTATTTGTTCTAGCATTTATCTAACTTCAGTAAAAATAAAAAGTCAGTTTGTGATGGCACATGTGACCCATGATTGTTCCTTAATTCTGATATTCCTTACATTGAGGGACATTAAATTGAGGTTTTATTGTATAATAATTAGTTAATGAATAACAGAGTAATTTAGATGATAAGAGGTGAGAATGAGTAAATTTTAGCTAGAATAGTATAGAGAGATGTGTATATTTATGTAATGCCCTTACTGACATTCTCAAGCCTCATTGACTTCCTAAGAAGTATGGGGTTACAGCCCTCCTAAAAAGATGCCTCCCAAACACTACAATCTTAACCTGTTCAAGTCTAGGGTTAAATGTTATCTTCACCTCATATTTCCATAAACTATGCCTGTTACCCCTTACTCTGTAACCTTCTACCTTGAGTGGCTCTCGGGCCTTGTACAAAGTGAAAATTATTGTAAAAATAAAATACTAGTAATTGTAGCTGTGGTTTCTAAAGCAAACAGAAGGCAACAGGAAACTACCCCACTATCACCCCTAAGAAGTCATGGCAATTCACAGATAATAAAGAAAAAATATCTGGAGAACCATGATCAACTACATTCTGAAAAGATATGGTATTAAAAAATATTTAAAGTCAGATTGTTGTATTTGCTCAATCACTGATTAATAATTAAAAATGACTTCAAAAGAATAAGTCCTGTAAGTTTTAGAGGGACTGTATTTCATCAGATCTCAATGGACTGATGTTACAAAATCACAAATAAAAATCTTTAACAAATAAGAAAAAACACATCACTTGAAGACTAGCAACAGAAGGAACAACTAAAATGGATAGCACATATAACCTAAAATGAAAATAATGACATAATCAAGTTGTTGACCTTCCATATTACTTCAAACAAAAAATTAGGAAGGAAACCTAAAATCAATACTAGAAAGAGTGATAACAGTTATTGAATGTGAGAAATTTATTTTCTTGTAAGAGAGAAAGATTTTTATAAATTCCAACTGACAGTAATGCTAACTTTTCAGTTAATGAATGCTAATGTTTCCATATAAGGAAACAGCAAATTTCATCATTATCATTACCAATTTGTTGTCTTTAAAACCTTTTTGGGCAAAAGTGGATAGTAATCAGCTTTTTAGATTGTGAAGAAGCATTTTCTTGCCTGAATATCCTCTTTAGCTTAAAGTTTCTTTACTCTGATGTGTACCAACTCAAAAATCATTTTTTGTCCAAGAACTTACAATAATTCTCTGCATTTATATTGACCTTGTTCTCAACTCTGAAGGAACTTATAATTTTACTACTTACATTACTAGCCTATGAACTCATGTTAGTTGACTTTTTGTCTAGCCATTAGGTCTATCTAATACAATTCTATATGCATCACTACTGTTGAAAAAGTTTTCATGTACCAATTTACACACTTGTGTTTATATTGAATACTAGAACGAAAAGACTAACACTAGAATATAGTACTTTGGTTGCTTTCATGTCTTTAGTCAATGTTCTTAATATTCTGCATCTTTTCTCTCTTTTTTACATTGGCAGCACTGATTTCTACAAATTTTTTCTTACTTATCATTCCCCTTTTCTTACTTATTACTTTTTTCATTTTTCTCAAATCTTTTCAAGTGAAATTCTTAAAGCCATTTTTTCTTGTTCTTGCCAATGTCTTCAATTTTTTTTTATTGTTTTATTATTTCTGTTCAGACTTTTCACAATTTCCCAAATTATATTCCTGTCACACAAATTTCAAAATGATATCTATTAAATATATATATATATATATATATATATATATATATATATATAGATAGATATAGATAGATAGATAGATAGATAGATAGATAGATAGATAGATAGATAGATAAAGTATGGATAGAAATTTGACAAAATAATAGGATAAAAAACAAGTATGAAACAGATCTTAATGCAACATGTTTCATTTTATTAAAGCCTCGTCAAAGTTCAAGATAGAAATGATAAAAAATGATAAAAAGCAAAGAGATGCAAATTAACGGTATGTTGCGTTTGGCTATTTCTTATTGTTTAGATATGTATCA